AATGCCCATACTGCAAATCATACTCTGACATGTGGATTGTTTAGTCTAAAGAAGAGAAGAGAGCTGCTGGGTCCATGTGCCTTTCTGGACTGGGGTGCAAAGGCAGCATTTTCATTAACTTTAACAGGAGTTCTATCCACTAAGGGCTTATAGAAATGAGTCTCCAGGCTTTCMGTGCTTAATTTGAAACTTTCAATGAAATAAAATTACTCGCCAAAATTACACCAGGAATCAAGGTAGAGTGAAAGGCAGTAAAACCACGAGATGCACAGAATACACCACACGCAATAATCAGCCTTGAATAGTCAACTGAGACCTTGAATCAATGAGTGAGAACACTAAGTGACATGCTGGACTTCCACATCAAAAAGAGAAAGTAGATTTTTCTAGATTTAAGAAATATGTAGATTTATCATCTTTGACCTGTCTGTGAGAAAGATTCCCCCCACAGCAGAATCTTGAGGGGGGTGGTGTCAGTCCATCAGCCCCCTCGCAGCTGCCAATCTCCTCACCCATCAGGAAGCACCCTCCTCACAGTAAATCATACAGTTCCAGCTTTTCCCTAGCAGATGGTCTAATTGCTACCTGTTGAGCAGTCAAGAAATGCCAGTTTTAAACTGATAACCTGGAAACATGCTAAGAGGGATTGAGTTTTTAACATGTTTTTTCAAAGGCTGAGATAAGTCAGTGGCACACCGAAGAACATCATATAAACTGCTGCTGTCAATAGTTTGACAGGTTCTGCAGTCAAACCTCAAAGGCCTCCAACTGAGTCTGTCCTGACTGCAAACCTGCCCCCAGTTTTCTCAGTGTAGTTTTAATTAAAATTTTATGTTCAACCAGAAGAAAAAAAAACACGCAGGCAGACATCTGTAACCAGTTTCATGAAACTGGAGGTATTGATAAAAGCTAGAATATATCAAACACACATTTGAAACAGAAAAASTGTTTTTAGAAATATCCAAACAAGTCTGTAAAGGCATTGAGAATACATGTGCCCCTTGCAGACTTGCACAGACAAAAATTAGGTGATTCACTTCMTGAAATGAAACATGCAGTTAAGTGTGCTGCTCAGGTATGGGAGCTCTGACACTTACACATCAGCCTCCATTTGGAATTAGTTAACCAAAATTATTAGTTTTATTTTTTGTTATTATTTCCAATGTGGTCATGGACCAAATGCCACGATGCAAACTGTTGTGCAAGTGCAGAACAGAAAGAGCATAAAGAACTCCTTGATGCAAACAAGTTAAAGCAATAAATAGATATTATGCCCCATCCCTGGAAGTGTTCCAGGCCAGGTTGGATGGGACTTTGAGCMACCTRGTCTARTGGAAGGTRTCCCTKCCTATGGCAGGAAGGATCTTTAAGGTCCCTTTCAACCCAGGTCTTTCTATGATTCTATGATTAATAGAGAAACAGCTGCATGGAAATTATGAGAAGACATGGGGCAGTGAGATAGGGAGAACCATAACATATCCCTCACAGTGAGATATCACTCCATTTCAGAGGAGGTGATGAACACCCCCTGCTTTCTTCAGCTGGAAGGAGCTGGGGATGTCAGGTTCACGTCAGCCTGTCTCTGGGTGGCACTATGTGCCTGAGACAGCCAAAGCCGGTGCTCTAAATGGTGACATGGATCTGGCACCAGCTGAGGGAGCACAMCTAAACAGTGGTGTGTGCTCTCCCCAGGCATGATGCTTACACAGACTATTTCAGCTTCATACATTGAAACAAAAGATAGAAGTTGGCCAAGACTTTTAATTTTTGGTAGCCAGCACAGTRTATCCAGCAACCAAGAAGAACATAAACAAGGCCAAAGGGGTGTCCCCATTGTAACACCCTCTCAGCATGGCAATGCCTCCACTTCCCAAGGCTTTGCACTCAGAGCAGTGATGCCTCTGCCCTCCCTGCCCACACAGTCAGGGCTCTGGATGCAGCAAGGGAATCCTCATCTCCCTGACCTCAGAACACAAGTTCATGCTCTGAGTGAGTGACACCTCTCACAGCCTGTTCCCGGCCACTATGAAAATGTTCATTTATTACTCAGTTTTAAATTGCAGATGGTATTCTTGGTGCTGCCTAGGGCCTCAGCTGAGGTCCAAGCTTGCCCTGTTGAGATGTGAAAGGTTTCTGCCCTAATTAAACAATATGCAAAAATTGGAAGGRAAAGCAGAGATAGAATTGAGATGAACTTTTTTTAAAACAGATCTGAGCTAGGAGTCCCAATTCTATGACTGTCACCTCTGCTTCCTCACCAGGCTTTAAGATGCTCAGGCACTGCTTAGAGACATCTATTCCATATGTCAATGTTCCACTGATACTCTTGGTTTATATCCCACTTGGACAGCTAAAACAAATCTCTCTGAGTTTTTGTTTGTGCCTGGGTCACAGCTCTGGCCACAGCCTTGTATAAACACAGACCCACAAGCTTCCCGTGCGTTAGCTCTGATGTTGGCACCACAGAGCTCTCAGTACAGTTTAGCSTGCCATGCCTTCCCCCAGCTCCCCGGGCAAGGGCTGCAGCCGGTGCCCTCCTCACAGCCACCAAGGTCCCCACAACCCCGGCCAAACTCAGCTGGAACACATCCACAGTACCCTGCATTTATGGCTGTGGTGAAGGACACCCTAACAACTGGATTGAGCAAATATGATATATAATATCTTATCTGATCTTATCTGCTTTTAACATCAGAATTAAACCCACCTCACTATTACCAACATTTTCTAAATCTTCTTTTTCTCCGTAACTGCAKTTACTCCCTACCTCAGGGGAGGGGGCGAGTTGTGTAGCACCACAGTAATGAAAAGCTCCTAGATAATCCTTTAGCCAGATCCCAGCTGGTGTGGAGAGAGAGGGAACCAGCCTCCACCCACACATTGGAACACTGTGGGCTGCTCTTGAACCTCCCAGTGCTCTGCACCCACTCTGCCTCAGCCACCACATGTGACACCATCACTGTTCCTAAGAGCTGCCAGGCTGGACAGATGAGATGTCTGATCACCTAAACACTGCCGGGGGATGTTCTGGCACCAGAAGGAAGGGAATAAGCTGGAGCTGGTCTTCTTTTCCAAAGGAAAAAAAACCCAAACAAACAAGCAAATAAAAAACAAAAACAAAACAAAAGAAAAACCAAACAAACAAAAAAAAACAACAAAACAAAAACAAAAACAAACCAAACCAAATAAACCAGAAAAAGCTGAAAACAAGAAAATCTGACAGAAAAACTAACCTTTTGTTCCCCCAAAACCCTTTGATGATTTTAGATATAAAAAAATTAATAATGACAAAATACAGCCACAGATGAAATTCCACATTGCTGCCAGGTATAAACTGCAAGTAAAATGTGGATCCCTGGTAGCCTGAAATGCTGGCACATTGCAACAGATCTTTCTTCCACTCTGCTTCATGAAGTGAAGTGAAACTGGCAGAAGAGGTTGGCTGGGGATGGCTTTCTCTGCCTTTGTTGGCCTTGCCCACAGCTGCAGTCCACATGCAGGCTCCAAAGCAGAGCTGACAAGGTGCCCTCTCAGCTTGCTCAAGCTGTGGCACTGGGATGCTTCTGGAAGGAATTCAGTGCAGAACCACAGCAGTGTGAAAGTGAAGGATGGGCTTTGTTTACATTCCAGATAATGCAGAAAGTGAGCAATGACACCCCTCTTCAACAGGGGGGTCCAGCAAAGCACATCAAGCACTGCCTGTGCAGCTCCTGGCCACAGCCTGAGCCACCAGGTGGAGAGATGGAAGAGGGGAAACCATGACTGCATCCTGATGTGGGGATGCCTCTCCCCCAGCTCACTTGGAATCAAAAGCAGCACAGCCAGGGTCACACTCAGGTCCCAACCTGGCTGGAGGAGTAATCCAGTTGAACAGCAGGGCAGCCAGGCAGCACTGAGCTCCTCTGYCAGGGGTTAAACCCTCCAGTTAAAGCTGGTGGGGTTCAGGGATGTCTGCATGGTGAAGCAAGGCTTAGAGCTCAGGCACAGCTCTGATCACTCTGCCTCTCACCTTGAGTTAATCCCACTGAAAGGTCCTGTACAGTGTCAGTGGTTGGCCCAGGTCAGGGAAGTCCTTGCCCATGGAAATGGGCCAGGGATCAAACCAAGGGAAATGTTTTCAGAAGCCTCAATGTCTATACAATTGTTCTACTTCTGGGCACCCTGTACAGAGATACCACAGCTGCAACATTCAGGATAATAGGACATCCATAATTCCCTGGTATTCTTAAAATCACTTGCCTGGCTCTTTCTATTCTTACTCAGTTTACCTTTCTGAAATGGAGGAATCATAGTAGTTTGCAACCTTAAGAAGATGCATAGAGTTTCTGTTCCCTGATGTTTGTGCTTCATGATCTCCAAACAGAAGCTAATTTCATGTCCAAACACAATATTTATTTTATCACCTTCTACTGAAGTAGAAGGTCACCATCCTGGACATTGTGAAATCACTGAGAGGTTTTGTTTTTTTTCTCTGTTAATACAGATCACTCTCTACTCTGAAAGGTTTGAAGAATTTCAGAAAACATTGGCCAAAAGCAATGAAGTGTTTGCCACATTCAAACAGGAGATGGAAAAAGTGAGTAGGAGCTCATGTCTGAACTCTGTAATTAATATTTTCCTTTTAGATTTTTATATTTCCCAGTGTAATAATTCTACCTGAGATGGGACCATTTCTGCACATTATGAAGAATAATCTCATCAACATTCAAATAGCATTTGGGACACACTCAGCCATGACTGACAGCAGGCTAGATTTMAACTAACAGCTGAACAAAAGTTAGATTTCAAAACAGCTGTTTTGCAAGCTGAACAGCAAAAAGGARAGCAGAAATTTCTCCATTTCAGCTAAAACTGAAAATGCTTGGGARAATAAACATGTTACCTAAAATCTAACATGGTGGTAGGRTACAGATCCCTAGGAGATACMAGARTGGRAGTCTGGAGCCACATCTGTCAGACSACRTCTCCAGGARTACCCAGAACCTYCTRCATKACAGACACTGGTACAGAGGGTTTGACACAGGCTGCACATCTTCCTGCTGGAGTGTGTAGGCAGAGCTGAAGCCCAACAACACCTTTCCACCATGTGGAAATAGTCCAAGAGAATGTTTCCTTGCAGATGGGGTTCTTATTTCCTGTAATGAATGCGAGTTAAAAATCAAACATATCCACATGTTGTACTTGCTTTCATAATAAACAGTGTTCTGCTCTGCCATCAAGGCTCAAAATCTTCATGTCCTGATACAGGCAGCCTTTAATGATCCTTCACAGAGAGTTCTTTCTGCAGAAAACCAAAGGGAAAAATGCTATTTAGATTGTGATGTGTTTTGAAAGTACTATAGAGGGGTGGCAAATCCAAGGGGACCTTCTTTGCCGTTGACGGCTCAGAAGAGCCCATCTTTAACATCTTACACTGTGGTCTGGTAAAGAGCAAAACAGAATAATTCCACCATTTCTTTGCCTTTTGTTTTTGTGATAGCTCRTATGCTGGAATTTGGCTATAATCAACTGGTCCTACTTTTGGGACTGCAGATTAAAGGCTGAAAGCTAAATGCGAGCTACCTAAAATGAAGTCCATCCCTTAACATAAATTATTACTTAGTGCAGACACTACTKGCACTGGTAGCAGATTTATGAGTAGACTTGAATAAAGAGGCTGCCCTGATGTCATCTGCAGCATTTCTGTTGTGATTCAGCTTTTCTTCCTGATTCTATAGATGACAAAGAAAATGAAGAAGTTGGAAAAGGATACTGCTACATGGAAATCTAGGTTTGAGAACTGTAACAGAGCATTACTGGACATGATTGAAGAGGTGAGCTGCTTTTCCCATCTCAAGATTCATTCTTTATCCCATGTAAAACTTTTAACTAGGGGATGAGATAACCTGAAACTGCCAGAAGTCGGTGGAAAATTTCTTCTTGAATCTAAGGGTCTTTTTTCAAGCTACTTTTATAATTGGATGTCTTTAGAGAAAAAGACAAACCCAACTGTTAGGGCTTTTAGATTGTGCAGGCATTCACTACATCCATAAGAAACTGAATTATGTAACTCTGAATTTTAAGTGCTCTAAAAATGGGTGATTCTTAATGCTCTCCCATCGAAGCAAACTGGCATTAGTTCACTTCCTGCTACTTTCTTTCTGCATAAGAGCATCCACCCAGGGAATTAATGTGCTCTAGCTAATGAACTTCAAAATCACGCCTTTCRTTAACTTCCTGTGTAGTCGAAGTCTAAGAGTCAAAAGCAAGTACTGTGTCTCACCACCCTTTTAAACGTCCTGTCCCAGGGGCATTGCAGAGGAAGTTCATAAGCACATTGGAACTCACTCAAAGAAGATAAGAGGCTGCCTGAAGTTTCACCCCAAACATATGCTGAACTTGAACCATATCTTTCTGGTTAGCTYTGTAGCTCTATGTTATTGATATTTCTATTTTTATGGGTTTCTGTATCTCTTGTTTCCTCACTGGATGTAGAAAATGTTCCAATTCAGGATGCTGTCACAGAACCCAGAAGCAAGATAAACAAAAAAAATATTATACAGCTTGTTTTCCTCCAAATTCACACCCACAYCAACAAAAATAGGCTTTTGGATGCTTATCTATTGGATATCCACTATGCTTTTCCATCTCTCCAGATCATCAGCAGGTATTCCTGCTAATATATTCGAGTGAAATTGATCTGGATATGTCTGAGAAAGTTAATATACTGTAGTTACAGGAATGAATTTCCTCTTGAACCTTTGGTCCAAAAGACCATAGTTATGGAAGAGCAGTTGGCGAAAGCCAGCCACTTGGCAACAACCTCTGAGGGCTGCTTAGATTTCAAATTATTTCCTAATTGCCAGTTCCACTAATGAATTGCATGCACCCAAGCTGAGCCTGTACCTTTGCCTGATGTCTTTGACTACAGAAAGCCATGAGGTCCAAGGAATACGAGTGCTTCGTGCTGAAAATCCAGAGACTGGAGAACCTTTGCCGTGCTCTGCAGGAAGAGAGGAATGAATTGTACAAAAAAATAAAGCAAGCACAGTTCCCAGAAGAGGTGAATGGAAATGGCATCTTGGAGGAAGAAGAAGAAGAGGAAGAAGATGATGCTGATGTGAGCCCTTCCTCCTCTGAGCAGGCGAGCATTGAGCTGCATGCGAGTGACAAGAGGATGCTGAAGCAGCTGGCTGAAGCTTTCAGGGTGTCCCACAAGGCAGAGGAATCCCTCCCAAGAAACAGCAGTAATCCGGAGACCTGTGACACTCCAACATGTAATGMCACCCTGGTGCCAGAACCCTCCTCTCCTCCCACCCCACATCCAGAGGCTGGGAATCTCTGTGAGCARCCCAGCATGAGCACTCCAACACGCACTGAACACACACCAGCACCCACTGAAAGTATGACAGTGCCCACTGAGAACRTGTCAAAGCCCACCCAAAGCATGGCCTCCCCTCCAGACAGGGTGCCAACACCCACAGAAAGTGTGCCAGTGCCTCCTGAGAGTGTGCCAGTACCCACYGGGAATATGCCAATACCCACTGAGAGCATGCCAGCAAACCCCAAAAATGTGCCACCACCCACACAAAACACACCCACTCCTCTTGGGAATATGCCAGTACCCATTCCGTGTCCACCAAAAGCTGCAGAATGTGCAGATGGCCCAGCAGACAGATCTGTCCAAGGTCAGTCTGCWGAGCAAACAGGGGACACAGACATGGAAGCAGTGGATTGAAGGCACCATGTGTCCAGGCTTCTCTTCTGCAATCCAGAGCTCAGCTTTCACTTCCAAAAGGA